TCACGAGCCGATCAATTCTGATGTATATTCATTGTGTAATCGATCTCCTACTCGAAGAGTGCCAGGAAAGCCCTGGCTGACTGGACGACGCTCACACTTTCCAAGGGTTCCGACCTCTCGGGGCCGCATCCTGTCGCACACAAGGGAGAAGAGGAGGGAGGGAGTCGGGAGGGCAAGGAACGGCGAAACCAACAGGCGGGGGCGTCGTGAAGGCGCGATTCGAGGGAAAGCTGAAAAGGGGTGGGTAGGGGTCGAGAGGAAGGAGGCAGGCTCGAGGGGATGAAGAGCTTGAGCGGTGTAGAAAGGAAGAAGAAAATGGGGGGATCCGACAATCCGACGACGTGAACGAAAATCACGACACGATGAAATCCATTACTTCCGATCCCATCTTTACGCGGGATCCGTGAAAAACCTTGGGGCCTGGCATGGGGCAATGATATCCGTCGTGTGTTTGTCACGAGGCCCGTGTCTCCGCGAGAGATGCGGAGGGGGTCGAGGCACGGCGCCTTCCTCCGGAGGAAGTTGCGTGAACGACCGTGTGCCTTCTCCTATCAATTTGCCTTCGGCGGTCCCATGGCGGGCTTCGGCGGCATCTGGCGCGATCTCTCGCGATCTCCTGCGCGGAGGCTGGACGGCTGCAAACAACAAAGGAACCATGATCGAACACTTTCGAAGGTTCTGACTTCCGACGACTCGATTCTTTCAATGCTCTGGCCCCAAGAGATATCGACCCCAGCCTCTTGGGGCAAGCCATTCAACCCGAGCTGCTTTCTGACGGCCCTGGGGACCGGAATAGAGCTCCAGACGTCGAAGGTAACGACGACGATCATCACCACAACCACCGCCAAGACGACAGTTGGCGGCGCGCACAAGGGGCTTAGGGGGAGGGGGAAGGCTCCTTAGAAGGAGGCTGCTGCTTAGAAGGCGACGGCCCCACATCTAGAAGGCCCGCGCCTTCTAAGAAGCAGCGGAGTTCCTAAGAAGCCCTCCCCTCACCCCCCTTGTCTGCGCTCACTGAGATCCTCACCGCAGCCACCGCCAAGATGACGACGACAGCCACTGCCAGGACGGCGGCGAGGCGGCGCGGGCCCCGTTTGTTCTCTTGCGCAGGGCGCTCTTGAGGCTGCCCCCCGACTTGGTAGTCGACGCCCCGGCGGGGTCCTGCTCACTGATCACCGGAGGGGGGGGCGGGCGAACTTGACTCCTACTCCTGCAACTACCCCTACCCCTATTCCTACTCCTACTCCTACTCCTACCCCCATACTCCTCCTCCTCCTCTCCTCCTCCTCCTCCTCCTCCTCCTCCTCCTCCTCCTCCTCCTCCTCCTCCTCCTCCTCCTCCTCCTCCTCCTCCTCCTCCTCCTCCTCCTCCTCCTCCTACGCATATCCCTCTCTCTCTCTCTCTCTTTTTCTCTTATTCTCTCTCTCTCTCTCTCTCTCGCGCTCTCTCTATCAGTGATTTTCTCGCTCACTATGTTTCTGTCTCTCTGTCTCTGTCTCTGTCTCTGTCTCTGTCTCTCTCTCTCTCTCTCTCTCCCTCCCTCCTCCATGCCCCCCCCCCCAGCACGAAGTCCACGCAGTCCTCCATCCACTGGTGTTCGCCCGCCGTTTCGTCCTGCACCCCAGGATCCAGTGCTGGGCCAGCCGCGCTGGGTCGAGGTAACGAGCCTGTGTCACCTCCTGCTCAGTTGGCACGCTGCCTCCTCGCCAGCTTCGTGGCCAGCGCTCGAAAAACACCCACCCACCACTGCCACTGTGAAGTACTCCTTCCCACCATAGCCACCCAAGGCCCCCTGGCGACTCGAACCTGCAGCGTTCCTCACGAGGGCGTCCGCAAGATTCTTGCGCCTGAAGTGTTTCCCTGCAGGGGGGCTTCCTCCCGATTTGTCATTCTACTGCCGTCCCTGATTACTGATTTGCGGGAGCATCGGCCGCCCCTTCTGCGAAGGCCCCATTGGTCTCGGCCTGGCGGCGCTGGCACGCGAGCTTGGATTCTCGTAGTCGCGCCTGCCGCTGCCAGGCTGCCCACAAGATGCCGCGTCTGGCATGGCGCATCTCCTCGACCAGCATTTCGGGGACCTCCATGAACACGTCGCGGGAGGCGGCCTGCAGCAGGCACTGCGCCTTGGCCTGGATACGCCCCACACCTTCCACGCCCTGCCCCAGCAGACGGGGGCTGCACTGCCGCCCCGGCCCTCGGCCAAATGGCCCGGGCAGCCTGGGCGCAGGCGCGCGCCAACTCCGACTGCTGGCAGGCAGCGTGCCCGGCCTCCGCGTCGAGAAACCAGCGTAGGCCTGCCGCTCGCAGCGCTTGCACCTCACCCCGATGATGTCAAAGCCGCCTTCTGCCGCACACGCCAAATAGTCGTGCTCGACGAAGGCTGCGTTGCCGTGGACACAGTGGAGGGCGGCGGGGTCCGCGGCAACTCGGGCGGGCCATTCCAAGCGCCGACCTCGCTGACTCTGCCCGCCGCGCACGCTGCGCCTGCGCCACCGTGAGGGCCATTGCCCGCTCAAACCCAGGTCCAGGGAAGGCATCGACGATCAGCCGGTCGGCAAAGTAGTCGGCCCACGCGTTGCCCACCCAACACAGCGGATGCAAGTCCAGCTCTGCCTCCAGAAGCAACGCCACATCTCGCTCGGCTCGCGGCGCAGTCTGGAACGGCTGCAGAGCGGGGAGCACGCCATCGCGGGCGCGGATCGGCCAGCCGCCTTCCGCCACCTGCGCGATGGTCAAACTGCACTCAGTGATATCTGGCGATTTGTGCGCGAGCGGGCCTCCGCCCGCATTGACCGCGGCGCTCCAGGTCGCCTGGCGCCGCCCCGACCCGCGCGCCACGGCGGTCGGGCGTGGACGGATGAACTGCAGCTCGGGCGCGATCGGCACCCCCAGCGCCACCCCCAGCGCACGCCAAGCGCCAGGGCCACGCTCTGTCGTGGCGCGACGTGCCGGCTGGTAGTTCTCGGGGGCAGCCTCCTGGCCCCCTGGCTTGCGACCGCCCTTGCGCCCCGGGTCTGCGCGCCCACGCCAGCGGTGCCCGCGCGACTCCACAGGCGCCCCGCGCGAGCCGCCGAGCGCTTGGAGCGCCCCGCGCCGCTTCTGCCCGCTCGCCGTCTCGCGCCCCCGCGCGCTGCCCAGAGCCCCTGCCCACCATCCCACTGGCGATGACGTTGGTGCCCCTGCCGCTGCTGCTAGCGCCGAATGCCCGCATGGAGAGCACGCGAATCTGCCGCGGGTACATCTCCAGCCTCGAGATAGGCCCACCCAACTCGTCGACGCAAGGGCGGCGACGAACTTCCAATCGACTCTCTGCAACGCCAGCCAGGCCGCCGCCACGGGCCCCACGACTGCCGCCCAGGTTGGAATAATACATGCGAGTCGGGCGCCCACGGCAGCCCACGCCGCCTGGGCCTCCGAGAACAGGCGCCGCGCTGCGGCAGCACTGCGCGCGCTGCGAACATCGGGCCGTGGCGCGGGTCGCCCAGAAACATGATGACGAGCGCGAACAACGCCGAGGGCTTCGCCCTCGCCGCCGCCCCCGGTCAGCTGCGCGCCCCCTCAGGCACCGCGACGACCCCGCTGGCGGCGGCGCCATGACGTGGACGGCGCGAGGCCCGCGCCCTGCGGCATGGTGACCGCGCGCCCGACAGCCTTCTTCAAGATGGTGATCCACCCCCTGCGCCCGCGCGGCGCGGTCATCCTCGCCTGCTCCTGGAGTCTCGGCGGCCGCGTGCCGCACAGCTCCTGGCCGAGGTTCCGCATCCACGGCCCCGCCGCTGTCGTATTCGGCGCGAGAGCGTCGCCGGCGCATTCCTGCATGCGGCGCCGGTGGCCACGCAGCCCATCTTCCTGGGCTGGGCAGGCAGCCGCAAGTCCTGCAGGTCATGCATGATCCTGCTGGACACCAGCGCCACAGTCGCCGCGCCAGTGGCCTTGTCGACGCAACGCTGCGCGCCGGCGCCATCCACCAGCTGCCGCGCGCAGATGCAGCTGCAGAGAAACTTGGCACGGGCCATGGCCCACCTTGCGAGCGCGCGCAGCATGGTCGCGGCGAGCGCGCGCCAGGCAATTACCACCCCGGCCGAGGTGCACTTGACACAAAAGTTGTTGAAGGCCCACATGAACATCGGCCGCTTGTAAGCGACGAACGAACTTGGCGGACGCCCGACCCTTTGGCCCTCGAAAATCAAGGTGGCAGGGCCCGCCACCTCGAAGCACATCCACATGTCGATTCAATGCGCGACGGGCCCTTTGCCCAGGGCGCGCGCTATCTCGCCGACCAGCTTGCGGTCGGGCGCGGAGTCGACCAAGCTGCGACCTGCGTTCGAGCCTCACGCATGCGCGGCTCCACGCTTCGCGAAGCTGCCTATGCCGACCGTCGGAAGCCGCCTTGCGGGCACGGCCCAAGATACGCGCGACCGCGCCCTGTAGCCCGATCAGCCACCGGGCTTGAGCAGCCGCGCCAGCACGCGCAGGATGGTCTCGGCGGGCCAGCCGAGCTGCCGCTCCGCCTCCACGGGCAGCTCTGCCAAGGCGCCCAGGGCACCCTGCGAAGGGCACCCCAGCGCTCTCGCCAGCAGAACCTCGGCATGCCCAGTAACACGGCGGACGGGGAACGCACGAATCACCAGTCGCAACTGCTCCCGAATCAGCCGTGGCAGCTCGGGCAAGCGCTGGTCCTCCGGTGGGGGCTTCGTCGGTTCAAGATTGGAGCGCCTCCTCGACGCTGCGCCATGTCCCTACATCCCCGTCAGCCTGCACGTAGCGCCTGGCGTCGGGGACGTACTCCATCGTCTCTGGCTGCGGCCTCTCGCACGCGAGGCGACGGTCCTGCCCCGCATCGCCAGTGACAGCCTGGGCCGCCCGCTGCTTCCAGGACACTTACTTGCTGCGACCGTTCAGCCTCCTTCAACTCCTTCTCTGCCTTGGCGTTGGCGCTTTCGACGACGCCCCCCCGGGTGCTCGCCCTTCACCATCTCAGGCCCGCGACGCAAAGCCGCTTGCGCGAGCGCGCCCAGCCTGTTCAGGATATCATTGCTGCCACTGGCCTTAGCGAAGAAATCCTGCGCTTGCTCGTGGGCCGCCAGCGCGCGCGCTCTCGCTGGCCGCAAGCGCCGCGCGACCTGCGCGTCGGACTGCAGGGCCCCCTTCGCGCGGCAGGCAGCCGACTGAAGCCGCGGCGCAAGCTGCGCCCATCGCCGCGCCGCTGCCGCAGGCCCCAACTGTGCGCGATTCGCCCGGGGGCCCCCACTGCAACTTTTTCCGCTCGAAAATCAGCCCTTGTCCTCGGACGAGTAGGCGAGCCGCCTCCGCCAGGCAATGCCGCACCTGGCGCGGATCTCGTCTTCGGACCGGGCGATCTTCGGCTCCTCCAACGCGGTGACCGCCGCGACTGGGCGCGGGCCCATCGCCACCTCCAGGGGCAACGCGCGCAGCCAGGGCGCGGCGCTGCAGGCGCCACGCGCGGGGCATCGAGCTGCCGCGCTCAGATCACTCGCGGCTCAGCCCTCAGCCCGATCGCCACCAGTAGGCGCGGCAACATGTCCGCCTCGATCCAAACCTGAAGAGCAACATCCAGGTGCGAGGCCAACGGGGCGGGGGCCACCAATTAGTCAATGATGCCCTCAGGCGCGGCCTGGATGCAGGCGGGGCGGGCAGGCGCCAGCACCTATCATCTCCGGCATCGCCGCGGAGAGCATCTGGCCAGGCTCGCGATTGAAGCCCCCTGCCAGGACCCGCGCGTGGCACTGCTGCTCGATGCGTCTGACGCACTGGACGATGTGCCAGAGGATCGCCTGGTCATCAGCGCCTGCGCACGGCCCTGCGTGGATGCGCACCGAGATGCGCACCAGGCCGCCCTTGATCACCCAGGCGACGTGGGCCGCGATCGCCCGATGCGGCACAATCACTGTATCACTGCAGGCGGGACCGTGGGCGACCGTCACGTGGCGCCTGGCAAGGACAGCAACTCCGCCCGCGCTGCCTCCCGCCGCCGCGCTGGCTGGCAGCCACGACCCCTGCCCCAGCCCAGGCCCTGCGCCGCCGCCTGCGCCTCGCCTGAGCAGTAGTTGAACACGCGGTGCTCATGTGGCATGACCGCCAGGACGTCTGCGCGCTGCAGCGTGGCCAGTGGACCAAGGTTGGCGCGCCTGACACATGGGCCACGCGAGTTCACGCTGGCCGCGATCAGCGCGCCGCGGAGCAAGGTTGACGTGGACCGCTCGCTGTGTCTGGTCGTACACTAGCGGGGGGGTCCTCCACCCCTCCACTGGGGGCCCCGCCGTTCCTCCCCGCGGGGGCGTCGACCACCCCTCCTGAGGGGGGTCCATTGGGATGCGCGAGGGCGTCGACCGCCCCACGACTGCGGACCTCGCTGCACTCTCCTTCGCTGCCCGCGGCCCGCCCTGGCCGGGCGCATATAGTTCTCTAGCGAGGGCGCCAGCCACCCTCCGCAGGAGAGCCCTGCGTCCGTCTTTGGCCGGGATCGCCCGGGCCGATGCGAAGTCCTTCTCCAGCGTTTTCTTGGCCGACGTGCTTTCCGCGGGCTTGTTGCCAAGCAACGCCACCTTCCCGAGGAGCGACGCGTGCGACCACCGCCCGCCTTTTTTCTTCCACGGACCGCGCTCCAGGACGGGATGGCGGGCTCGACCTTGCGCGAGAAGGCGACGGACTTGGCAAGCCCACATCCTCTCATGGCGAACGGGCACTTGCACACCAGGGCGTCGCCCTGGTTCCGCCACTGATTACCTCGCGGGCCCGTGCAGAATTTGCAGAGCCAGCGTGTGGCTACCCAAGTGCAGCTCTTGCAAGATGCCCCGTGCCCCGCCAGTGCTGCAGCTGCTGAACTCCACCCATGGGCGCCCTGTTGGTTGACCCGAAAGGGGGTCCAGCTTAAAGGGGGTTGTGCATAGATTCGGGGCAATTGTATTGTAGATGCATTGCGCCGGAGAGCCGCATTGAATTGCATTGCAGCTAATGCATCGCACGCGAAATCGAGCAGCACATTCGCGCACCGAAGTGCGTTGCACGCCACAAACATGTTGCACCACCCCCTTGTCGCTGGACTCCTTTTGGGGTCAACCCGACACACAAGGGCCCCCACGAGGGCTCGCGAGCCTCGCCGACGCCGTCGTCGCTGTCGTCGTCGTCGTCGTCGTCGTCGTCGTCGTCGTCGTCGTCGTCGGCGTCGTTGAGTCAACCAGAGCCTTGCAGTCGTGAGCTCGTAGTGGGGACCACAGGGCCTGCAGCGGCGGGAAGAGGAAGGCGACCAGAGACGCCCCTCGGCACGCCGCGGGCTGGCGGTGTCCGGGAGCCGTGCATCTCGAGCCAAAGTGGCTACAGTGGAGGCCAGTCCACTGTAGGCGGGGGAGGAGGGGGAGGAAGAGGAGGAGGAGGAGGAGGAGGAGGAGGAGGAGGAGGAGGAGGAGGGGGAGGAAGAGGAGGAGGAGGGGGAGGAAGAGGAGGAGAGGAGGAGAAGGAGGAGAAGGGAGGAGTGGGGGGGGAGGAGGAGGAGAGGAGGAGGGAAGAGGAGGAAGGAGGAGGAGGAAGAGAGAGGAGGAGGACGAGAAGGAGGGGGAAGGAGGGGGAGGATGAGGAGAGGGAGGAGGAGGAGGAGGGTGGAGGAGGGGAGAAGGGGAATGACGATGATGATGATGATGACGACGACGAGACGACGACGACGGATGATGATGATGATGATGGTGGTGGTGATGATGATGATGATTATGATGATGTGATGATGATGGTGATGGTGATGGTGATGGTGATGGTGATGGTGATGTGATGATGATGATGAGATGATGATGATGATGATGATGATGATGATGATGATGATGATGATGATGATGTGGTGATGATGATGATGGACGATGGTGATGATGATGCTGCTGATGATGATGATCATGATGATGCTGCTGCTGTTGCTGCTGATGATGATGCTGATGCTGCTGATGATGATTATGATGAGGAGGAGGAGGAGGAGGAGGAGGGGGAGGAGGAGGAAGAGGAGGAGGGCGAGGAGGAGGAGGAGGAGAAGGAGGAGGAGGAGGGGCAGGAGAGGGGCTGGGAGCAGCCAGCGCCCCGCGACCCGAGGGGGGTCGGTGGCTCGCCCGATCATCTGCACGGGCAGCTCCTGCCCGTCAGGCCAGAGCTGCATCGAGTCGCGAGATGGGTCCGATCGCTACAGTGGCGGCCAGTCCACAAAGAAACCATCCACAAGAAACCCAACCAAGGAACCCTAGGACGTCCATAGCTTGGCAGAGCTCTTGCCACAACGCTCGGCCACATGGGCGATTCTAGAAGACAGGGGGCGGCGGTGATTCGCCGTTGGCGTCTTCGATAAAAGCCAAGCAACTCGGGTGCGCGGCACAAACTAAGGGTGCGGGCGTCCTTCTGCCACCAATTCGACCAGCTCGCCACCGCAAAGCCCGAGCAGGGCGACAAGCGTCAACAAATACCCAATTCTCGAACATCATCCGATCTCGAATGTCGGCACCTGGACTTGCTCAGGAGCCCGGTCTCGACAGAGTTCCGAGGCGGATCTAGCTGTGACAACGAGGACTCCGCAGGACGCCCAAAATACCCTACACCGACGACGCCGCCACCGCCACCGCCGCCGCCGTCGTCGTCGTCGGTCGGTGGCATCCTCGCCCAAGTCGGCATAGCGTCGCCGTCGAGCCGCCGCCGCCGCCATCGTCGGACGGTGGGCTCGCCGCCGCCGTCGCCGCTGCCGCCGCCGTCGGCCTCGATTCGGACGGTGGCCTCGTCGCCGCCGGCACGGTCGCCGCGGCGGCGGCGGCGGCCGGCGTCCTTCGACCCGCTCGACCTGCTGGCCACCGCGTCCATCACCGGCGGTGGGCCCCCCGCCGCGGGAGCCTGCGGCGAGGGCTGGCGCGAGGCCCGCGCGCGGGCACAGGGCTCCTCCTCCTCCTCCTCCTCCTCCTCCTCCTCCTCCTCCTCCTCCTCCCTCCTCCTCCTCCTCCTCCTCCTCCTCCTCCTCCTCCTCCGCGAGCCCGCGGCCCTGCGGGCACAGGGCGGCTTTGCAGCGATGCCGCGCGCGGAACGCATCCGGATTTTTCGTATCCGTTCGGCTCGCGCCTCGGAGGTCGGACCGCGGGGGCACGGATGTGGGCCCGATTCTCCTCTCCGGCATCGGGCAGGCACAGGGGCAGGAGGCGAGCAGGCCAGCGAACGAGGCGACAGTCCCCGCACACGGGCGCAAAGAGGATCAGCACCACCACCACCACCGCGAAGATCACTGGAGGATCCGCTGGGGAAATATTCCCCCTGTTCCTCGGCATCCCGCTCGAGACATCTCAACCTCTACCGTGCAGCGAGGCGCGCGGGCCCGTGCCCGGTTGGGCAAGGCGCGCGCGCAAGGACGGAGCCTCCCACCACCTGCTACAAGCTATACTCTGGGTTTCTTAACAAGCGTGGGGGGGGGACCCCCCCGACGGGTGTTAACCTCGCCTCGTCGTCGCGCCGCGACGGGGGTCGGAGCGCCTTCGGCGCGCGGTGGCCGCCCGCGACGGGAGTCGATGTGGGGCTGTCGGCGGGTGTGACGGCCCCCCCGACGCTTATTAAGAAACTCGGAGTACCCCAGAGTACCTAGACGGGGTGGGACGCCAGCAAAATTAGGTCGGGCATGTCCTCAGGCGGATGGATTCTGGGCGAAGAACGAAAATACACCACAATGTTTTTAAAACAATTAAGTATACCCCAAAAATCGGACCCAGACTATTTTTGACTATTTGTGAAGTTTCCTCCTGTAGAGGGACAGGCCCGACTTAACAGTACAAGGAGGTCGAGGAGGACGATCGAGGCTCCGTAAGCCTGCGGGGACCTCTGGAGGCCCCTGGCCGGGGACTCTTTACAGATGGAAGCCAGTCCAACAAAAAACCTTCCACAAGAAACCTTCCACGAAAAACTTTCCACAAGAAACCGTCCAGTGATTTTTGGTCTGGCAACGCCACGCTTTCCATGGCCAAGCCATCGAAACTCAAGGAACCCCAGGGCACCCTGGAGGCGAGCAGGGTGCTTCTTGACACGGGCCTCCACTGTACGGCCCCTGGAGGTCCTCGGAGGGGGGAGGAGCCGGCGGCGCGCCGAGAGGCGTCAGGAGACCTCGAGGGGCCTCTGAGAGGGCTCCTCGGAAGGCGGGGGGGGGGCCTCCTACGGAGCACTCGGGCCTTCTGAGG